GCTGTTAAAACTTGTGCATGCTTCAAGAAGTTCTCGTGTTGTTTTTCAGCTCCATTAATTCACTTATATTCCTCTCTAAATTGTGTATTCTTGTTAACATTTCATCAAACCTTTTTTCAAAGTTCTTAGTTTCTCTGCACTGGGTTAGAACAAGTTCTTTTAATTCACAGAAGTTTCTTCTTATCCACCTTTTGAAGCCTGCTTCTGTTAATGGAACACACTCGTTCTCCATCAGGCCTTGTTCCATTGATGAGGAGGAACTATGATCCCCTGTAGAGGGAGAGGCATTCTGATTTTGGGTATTCTCAGCCTTTTTAGGCTGTTTTCTTCCCTTCATTGTAGATTTTGAAAACGTTGTTTTCAAAACTAATACTCTATTTTCTCTATAAACATGGACTCTGGATCATATAAAAGTATATATGGTAGAGAAATAAGGAGGGCAGCTTATACACAAAATAGACAATATTGCCAGACAGTATATTTTACTTTTGGGTAAACAACAAGTCTTCATGCCTCTTCCAATAAGCACAAATACAACTTCATAATCCTAGGAAAGAAAACATTTCCATTTGTGGTCAAAAGCTGATAAATTTCTCTGGCTAATATTTAAATTTAAGTCAAAATGGATTTTGATTTTTTTTTTCCTATAAAGTTTGTGAAATGCTTTCTCCTACTCCAGAGTCTGTGATGAAGTCTATAACTGAACAGAAAAAAAAATTCAAAGCTGCTTCGTTCAGTACCCAGGTGATTCAGCATCAAATCCTATAGTGACTTTATTTTCCAGCTCCAGAACCCAGACTTTACATGCTGATTCCAGTGACCAAATCTTTGCCATGGTTTCTCTGTCTGGATCCTAACTCAATACACTGTACTGCATTCAGCACGTCTAAACCCAGGAACCTGCATAGTTTATTTCTCACAGGAACCAGACTCTCAGGCCAGTGCTCTCTGTTGCCAAATTTTCTACAGCTGTCACCTTTCTGAACGTTGGTGCTTACTTAACACCCAGTTTATTTCAGCTGCCTGGCCCTCCCGCAGCCTGGATTAGCCCCCACATTGCTATAATTTTTAAAACACTCCAGTTGATTCTGAAATTTAGCCAGGGATGAGACACCTGAGAATAGAACAAGTTAAGTGATGGCACGAAGTATAGGGAGCTCCAAAAAACTCAGTCATCAAGATAACATTTACTATTAAAATGTCTTTAAAAATCAAAATTGCTGGAAAATAATATGTAATAAACAAAATATCGAAAAAGCAAGTAGGGGATTACTACTTGGAACCTGAGGCAAAAGGGAAAATTCATAATACTGATCCTGCCTTAAAAAAAAAGTTCTTCCATTTTTGTGCGGTTGTTTGCACATAGGGAGCATTTATTAGATATTATCTGAGTTTACAAATAGAAACCCTACCTTTGAAATCACACTTTGAAAATATAATTTCGAAAAGAGCATGAAGTTGATTGAAAGATGATTGGCAGCATGAAAGTTGATTGATAGTACCGTACTGAATAGGCAAGTCTAGCATGGTAAACTCAGAAGCGTAGCCTCTCCAGAGTTGAAAGAACAAGTTAAGGGGTAGGAGGAAGCGGGACCGAGGACAGTCTGAGTCAGTGCACAGGTAGAGTGCCTTATTAGAAAACCTATCTGGTGGTCATCAGATGGTTGTCTCATCACCAACTCAAACTCCTCATGGCCAAAGCTGAGTCATAAAATCACTCTCCTGTCTTCCCACATCCCTGGCCATTTTACACAGCTGACCCTCGTAATATTCTATTACTTCTAGCCGGAATGTCTTCACTCTTCCCAGCCTTTCAAAGGAAAGCTGTGCTTTTCTTCAAGGCTGTTCTCAGATGTTACTTTGCCTCAGAAGCCCTCTCTGCCTCAGCTGACTGTCCTAACCACCCACAAATGCCTTCCCTTCATAATCCAAACCCTGTCAGCACACATTTTTAGTGCATATCTCACTGTAACTGTTTATAAACCTGTTGCTCCCAATAGACCACAACTTACTTGGAGGTAAAACGAAATTTTATGTTCTAGCTGCCTGACACATAGTAGGAGCTTCATAATTAGGTGTTAAAAGAACAATCAGAGACACAGAAAAGAGCCTTGCCTGTTAAGTGCTGAAGAATGGCAATAAAAAAAGAATTGGAGTGGAGGTGGAATTGAGACAGCAGGTAGCAATATATGTATTCTCTCCTCTCATCTTGACAACTCAGCTATAGGACTTCAAGTGAGCTGTTTCCAGGAGGCCTGAAGGCTAGCTAAACTCCTTAGGGAAACAAGATGGGAAGATGAGCTTTACGAAGTAAGACTTTTCAAGAGCAATTTTGAGTTGGAAGTGGTGGGGGTAGGGTGCAGTAGGGAAAAACACCTTCGCTTCAGAAAGCATTTTTCATCCTGAAAAGCAGAAGGCTAGACAAGAAACAGGGTTTTCAGCATAGTCTCTGTCCTCTAGGCCAGGGAGAAAGGCATAGGGGACAGTCATTGTCCAGCAAACCAGGTGGAGGAGAAAACTAAAATTCAGACAAAAATCCTGCTTGGAGTAAAAGAATGTGCATTTGGCTGGTGCCCTCCACTCTCAGAACTTCGGTGTGATGCAGGAATCAGAACTCAAATGGCAGCAGAGGGCGGGTATGCATGACTGAGAGAAGCTGGAGGTAGTATGGATGCACATCCTGCACCAGGGACCGATACAAACTCTTGGCCACAACAGCCACTCCGCTGCAAATGGTTATTTCTGTGAAGAAATGCAAGCCTTTGGTTGCCAGACCTTTCAAATATTTGTGATAACAATCCCAATTTGATATTCAATTCCTCGATTTTAAAAGGTAAAAAATAATAAACTGTGTTAAATCCCTTGGGCCTACCGACAGGCCAAACTATACATGACTGAAGGCTGACCGTGGGCTTGCAGGTCATTAATATGTTACTACAAATAATTGGGAAGTAGAAATTCAGTGATGCCTCAGTAGTTCAACAGGTGAGAGTCATTCAGTATAATCCAGAACTTCACCTTCATCTCATTGTTACCCGGCCTTGGGCATGTTTTTGATATCCCTACAGTCCTGTCTACTCAAAATAGGCTCTTCCATTGACTTCTTCTAGAGGTTTGTCTTTGTTTTTGTTTTTGAGACAGAGTCTCTCTCTTGTTGCCCAAGCTGGAGTGCAATGACACGATCTCAGCTCACTGCAACCTCCACCTCCCAGGTTCAAGTGATTCTCTTGCCTTAGCCTCCCAAATAGCTAGGATTACAGGCACATGCCTCCATACCCAGCTAATTTCTGTATTTTCAGTAGAGACAGGGTTTCACCATGTTGGCCAGGCTGGTCTCAAACTCCTGACTTCAGGTGATCCACCTGCCAAAGTGCAGAGAGATCACAGGCATGAGCCATTACACTTGGCAGAGAGGTCTATTCCTAATCCACCAGTTACCTTACAGGAAATTTAGCTAAGGATATTTTTCATTGTCAGTTAATAAGATGAAAGCGGAGAAGCATTAGCATTTGATGTATTCAGTTGGTGTCTTGAGAAAAAATACATGTTTTCTGAGCTTCCATTAAAAAATATACATAGATTTAAGACCAGGCATAGTGCCTCAAACCTGTAATCCCAGCACTTCGGAAGGCTGAGGTGGGTGGTTCACTTGAGCCCAGAAGTTCAAGACCAACCTGGGCAAAAATGACAAAACCCTAAAACCCCATCTCTACAAAAAATACAAAAATTAGCTGAGCATGGTGGTGTGTGCCTGTAGTCTCCGCTACAAGGGAGGTTGAGGTGGTAGGATCACTTGAACCTGGGAATTCGAGGTTGCAGTGCGCTGTAATCATGCCACTGTACTCCAGTCTGGGTGACAGAGTAAGATCCTATCTTAAAAAAAAAAAAGTATAGATTTGCCCACTGGCTACTTCAGAGAAATAAAGCTGAATACTTTTCTTAAAAAGGTATATCTTTTTTTTTTTTTTTTTTTGAGACGTAGTTTCGCTCTTGTTACCCAGGCTGGAGTGCAATGGCGAGATCTCGGCTCACTGCAACCTCCGCCTCCTGGGTTCAGGCAATTCTCCTGCCTCAGCCTCCTGAGTAGCTGGGATTATAGGCACGCACCACCATGCCCAGCTAATTTTTTGTATTTTTAGTAGAGACGGGGTTTCACCATGTTGACCAGGTTGGTCTCGATCTCTCGACCTCATGATCCACCTGCCTCGGCCTCCCAAAGTGCTGGGATTACAGGCTTGAGCCACCGCGCCCGGCTAAAAAGGTATATCTATATATTTTCATTTCAGAGTTGTGGTACCAGAGAGGCACTAGTCTAGATTTTTACTTGATGATTTTTTTCACCTAGAAATAAATTGAGACACAGCATTGCCAGGTGGTTCATGTGATTGGAAATCCAGAGGATGGGCAAAGGGGAAAAGCACCCAGGGCTGATAGATTCTATAAAGTCGTCCAGAAACAAGAGTTCAAAAACAAACGTAACAGACTCTATGTAGGTTTAAATCGATATTTTTAGCTCAAAGAGGCTTTTGAAAAATAATTGTTATAAGCATCAGAAGATTGCAGCTGAAATGGTTTGAAATCAATTTTAACTCATTTTCCATTCACAAAATATGAAAGGAGGAAGCCACTTGCACTGATTCAGTTGAGAAACAGTGTAAAGGTTTTCATAGAAGATAAAGAGGTTGATTTCAGCTTAGACAGGTATTTCAAGCTTCAAGGGCCGTGTCTAGACTGACAAGGATTTGCTACCCCCAAAGTCCTATTAAGCAAGGAGTGTAAATGTATTTCAGAGCAGCTCAGGTACTGGAGCTTCTGCAGAACTTAGACGATCAGCAACCACAAGATCAGCTGCTTCTGGACCCCTTGCTTGTGATTTCAGCTTTCCAAAGTAAACACTGTATCATCAACACATTTAACAGTAAATCCTCCAAGAGCAGAAGACACTGAATCAGTGAGGACTGACTGGCATTTGTGAGTGTGTGTGAATGTATGCGCGTGTGTGTGTCTCTGTGTGTGAGAGAGCGAGCGAGCGTGTATGTTCTCATTAGGGGACGATCTATGATTTGACAGCCTCACTGCTGCTGCTCCTGCTGCTGCTTCTGCTTCTGCTGCAGCTGTATGGTCTGTCATTAGTTGAAAAGGGCTGTGAGGGTTTGGAGAAACTGCAGTTTTAAAAACTGAGCACTGCTAAGTGATCTCCCTGTCAAATAGAGTAGACGAGCTCTTCTGCGAGATTAGAAACTTGGACCTATTACTACTTCATCTACCCAGAAAAGCAGGCAGCGCTACACAGGGTAAGGTAAGAAAAGAAACTGTTCTCTCTTGGATATATGGGGCAGGGGGCATGGGGCATGGGAAAATGTCATCTTAAAGGCTTGCTATTTTATACCAAAGGCAGATCTTACCCTCTGAGAGCAAAAGATGCAACAGCTAAATTTTAACAAGCTTGATTATTGAGCCTCTTGGCTTTTTTCTCTGGTATCTTTTTCTTCTTTATTATACTTTTGCCAAGCATCTAGGAGATTTGTTAGTATTTATTTTTCATTTAGCTGATACTGTTTAGTTTTTTTTTTTTTTTTTTTCAATTGGGCACTGTTTCAAAACAGGAAGTTTTTTCTGTTTCTCTTTCCTTAAGCATTTTTCTCCGTTAAGAGGGAACTTCTCCCTCTTTACGTAAGCTGATCACAACAGTTACTCCATTCTACACTAGAGATGCAATAAAAGAAGTTTTAAGAAGTACATGTGAGCCTTATTCTCATAGAAAAAATGGGAAGTGAAAGGAGTGGAAGTGAGTTACTTGTGATTGGGACTTGATCAGAAATAATAACACTGTTAATAAATATGTACTATGACTCTTCACAGGGGGATGGAACTGCTGCAATGAAGGTGGGCACTGGAAAGAAGATGTTTTGAGAAGTCAGTGTTTCCGAGAAACTTTAACCCAAGAAAGATGGAAAACGAGACAGTCAGTGAACTGAACCAAACACAGCTTCAGCCACGAGCAGTGGTGGCCTTAGAATACCAGGTGGTCACCATCTTACTGGTGCTCATTATTTGTGGCCTGGGGATTGTGGGCAACATCATGGTAGTCCTCGTTGTCATGAGAACCAAGCACATGAGAACACCCACAAACTGCTACCTGGTGAGCCTGGCAGTAGCCGATCTCATGGTCTTGGTGGCCGCAGGCCTCCCCAATATAACAGACAGTATCTATGGTTCCTGGGTCTATGGCTATGTTGGATGCCTCTGCATTACTTATCTCCAGTATTTGGGAATTAATGCATCCTCTTGTTCAATAACAGCCTTTACCATTGAGAGGTACATAGCAATTTGTCACCCCATCAAAGCCCAGTTTCTCTGCACGTTTTCCAGAGCCAAAAAGATTATCATCTTTGTCTGGGCGTTCACATCTATTTACTGTATGCTCTGGTTCTTCTTGCTGGATCTCAATATTAGCACCTACAAAGATGCTATTGTGATATCTTGTGGCTACAAGATCTCCAGGAATTACTACTCACCTATTTACCTAATGGACTTTGGTGTCTTTTATGTTGTGCCAATGATCCTGGCTACCGTCCTCTATGGATTCATAGCTAGAATCCTTTTCTTAAATCCCATTCCTTCAGATCCTAAAGAAAACTCTAAGACATGGAAAAATGACTCAACCCATCAGAACACAAATTTGAATTTAAATACCTCTAACAGATGTTTCAACAGCACGGTATCTTCAAGGAAGCAGGTAAGCAAAACCAAAATTCCAAGTCAATAGAGAAAATGTGGGATAGAGTTCCTTGGAGATGGGATCAATTTTGCCCTGTTTAGCTGATGGCGAAACCAAAATACAATCATGCAAATGTTTCACAGTGTAAGCTTCTGCCTAACATATTAAATCCATCTCTAAAGTAACTGAAGATCTAAAAATAGATAGGGAATATTTGATAGCACATCAGCAGGTATCAGTTCAGGTGCTATTAAGAAACAAAGAAATATAAACAGAAACTCTTGAAATTCACCTTTAATATGTTTGTGCCTCTCTGGAAATATTATTAAAATATTTGGACAATTTCTAGCTTTTGTAAGGAAGAATTATATTACATGGTAAAGAATTATCTTTAAAAATTCTATTGTACAACAAAGATTTGACAAAATAGTTTGAAAACAGGTTAGTTTAAAAAAAAAAAGTAACTTTCTTTGCCATTCTACAGTTACTGACAATGGAGACCTACCTGAGAAGGTTCCTGGACTTACTTTTCGTAGTCTTAGTAGGGAAAGATTCACCCTCTCCTCCAGCTCCCTACACAATGTCCTAACATACAGAAACTGAAAATGCACCTTGCTCAGGAAATGCTCTAATAAAAGGGCCAACATCAAGCTCAATTTTTCATAAAGAATGATTGAATTTTTTGAATCTGTTTTTTTCCTGATAAGCATACCTAAAAATTCCTTTATGCTTTTAGATCACCTGAATGCCCATATAATTAGTTGAATAGTGGTTTTACTAGTGAACCAAGTGCAAAACTTTATTGCAGTATATATGATTTATAAAATCATATAGGAATAAAATGTTTTATATCATTTACACATTTATCTATATTTGTACAATTGTTCTAAGTTACTTATACACTTAGCTTTAAATTTCTTTATTCGTTAAACATAATAAACAGATGATATTTATTCTTATAGCTGAAAAAGAAAACCAAACTTAAAATCAACATGCTGATTCTTTTAAATGGGTTGAATCTTCTCATATTTTTCACAAAGAATGTAGTTCTTTCTGTGTACATAGCTAGAAACTGAGTGTACTTTCTAACAAGTATACATATGAATCATTCACACTATTACTTCATAAACTCTAGCTGATATATGCATTGTAACTGGACATAGTGAAATAAACAACTAAAAAATTTAAGTGTTTTAGATATGCATGAAATGAATAATGAGCCATAACTTAAAGGAAATACATATTGCATTTTAAATGGTGCTGTGATACTTGTTTTGTGCAATATGTCTTATTAAAGTTAACTAGACAGCAGAAGAGAAGACCTAAGCAACTACTGTCAGCTCAGGTTTCTTTAGCCTGGATCTCGCAATACTACCTAATATAAGGCTTATTTGGCCATTTAACACCCAAAACTTGATTAATGGAAATTTAGAGAGATCTATTGACTATCTTCCAAGACAAATGGTGACAAACATAATAAGAAAGTAAAGAATATATACTTCTCAGTTAGACATCAAACATAGGTTAATGTCTGCAGCAAGGAAGTTCAGGGAGTAAATCCATTTATTAGATGCCAATTTGCATTCCTGTTATAAATTTTTAAAACTTGTTTGTCTTGTCTAATGTCCTTTCTTTCCATTACAGTCATTAGTACCTATCAGCATTAATAACATGCTTTAATTTGCTAATTATGTTACATGTTCATACTCTTATTTCAAAGCTGTTACTGATAAGCTGTCTTTACAGAGGCTGTATGATAGGAGAAAAAGCCAAAAATTTGGCTCTAAACAACCTTGGGCTTAAATGCCAGGATTCCGTTCAAACTCTATAACCTTGGATAAGCAGAACTCTGTGAGCCTTAGTTTTGTCATCTATGAAATGAGATAAATAGCAATATCTAGGATCAGGGTAAGGTCCTGTGAAAAACCTCATGAAAGATGCCTAAAGTGCAGTGATGATTAACACCTGAGTGTTAGCTAGGCTCCTTCCTAATTTTTAAGAATATATTGGTAACCATAAGGGAACTACAGGTATTTCCTTAAAAATATATATTCACTGCTTTAACATAGATTACTTGTTGAACAAATGTGTGTATGACATAGTAACTTCTTTAAGGAGTTTTTTTGTTTGTTTGTTTGTTTGTTTGTTTGTTTTTAAATAATTAGAGCATTTGGAAATACATTCTGAGCATTTGGGGTTGTCACATCAACACCACTGTCAGTTAACATCCAAGAGTAAGGAATGAAGTTCCTTGTTACGAATACCCATAACACCCTAATTGAGAAACATAGGGTGACATATAAGCCAGTAGGAGTGTATTTAAGTAATGTGTCTCGTAATTCAATCCTGATTATAGATGGGATGGGAGTTCAGAGCAAAGAAGGAAAATTACTGGGCTACAGGGATCAGAGAAGTATTCATGGAAGAGGTGGCATTTGAGATGGTTCTGGAAGGATGAAGATAATTTGAAAAGTAAAACTCAAGAAGGGTGGTGTTCCATGCATAAAGGACAAGATGCAGTGGCTGGAATGAGAACAGTATGGGCTTGGAGAGGGGCCAAGAAGGGGCATACAGATTGGAACTTACAGAATGGAGTGACTTAATTGTCTGAAATGAATGATGTTATTTGGGGGAATGTTAAAAAGTAGGATTGGATTGATAGCAGTGTGTGTGAGAGTGAAGGAAGAAAGAGAGACAGAGAAGGCTGTAGAGGATCCAGTCAGGCAAGGAAAGGAATTTGAACTTAATGAGAGGTAATAAAGAATGTGAGTGATGAGCACAGAGCAGCGATGATGAAATGGTGTTTAGGGATGAGAAATCTGATAGCGTTGGGGGAGGCAGATTTGAAGAGAAAGAGACTGGTGGCAGAAAAACCACTTTGGAAGTTGTTAGTAGTGCTACAGGTATGAGGCAGTAAGATTCTCTATCAGGATAGTTTCAAGTAAAGAGTAAACCAAAAAATGTTTCAAAGAAAGAAAGGGTGTGATATGAACATATTAGAAAAGATGAAGAAAGGACAATTGAATATGGCACCAGGATTCTGAGTCTGGAAGAATGTGGTGCCCTGATCACGGGAAATGAGAACTGGGAAGGCGAGCCAGTTTAGTACAAAATTAGTGGCCTGCTTTTTTTTTCTTCCAAAATAGTTACTTTCTTAAATCTTTGAAAGGTTCAAATCTCCACTTTCTGTAGCCAAAGTATTTTAATTTTAATATTTTCTATGCATTTTTTTTCTTTTAGGCAAGTTTAATTTACATTTTAATAAATACTTATCTGGGTCAGGTCTTTCTAACCAAGTTCTTAAATTCAAATGTGCATAGCCTAAAAGAGCTATATGAAAAGGAAGTAAAAGCATATTTATATATTAGGGACAAATGGGAATTTTTTCCTGGCTTATTTGTTTTTTACTTATAGTCTCTATGCAGAAAATCCAGCCCAGAATCTTTTCTTCTTTCATTCAGAGATTCAATTATATTTTAGGAAGCCATCTAAATGTTGGGTAAATTCAATAAGATAAATTACTCAGACTTATGACTTGGAATTGTGTAAATCCAAAGGATTATCTGATTGACTAAATGTATTGCTTTTATAGTTGGTTGTTTCAGTACAAAAGAGGCATGGTTTAAATTACCATATTTGTGACACTTCAGCTCTATCTACACAATGCCTAAATAGTTCCTCAGTTCAGTCAGTTCAGCTGTTTAACATTATGTAGATAAAATATCTCTATCATTGACTGTATATTTCTATGTAATTGATTGGATTTCTGGCATTCTGAAAGCACAGAAACACCTGAACATCTTAGTAAAATGTAATATCAATAAATACATTCAATTCAAATATGTGCTTTCTAGAGGATGCAGAGATATGAAGAATATTTTATAGAGTTATAAAACAGGCTATCAGTTTTATTTTCAATGGAGTCACTCTAATAATTTTTTCTTAATTCTTACAGAATAACTAATAGAGAAACCATGCAACATAGTCTTAATAGAAGCTCTAAGAGTAATGGCAGAATTTTTACTATGGAATTCACTTGACTCATCAAACCTTAAAAATATCAAACAGTCTTGGTTTCTGTCAAACTATTGAACATCTAGAAGAAACATTGGTAGCCCAAGAAAAAAATGCAACTTTCATTTTTATTTGTTATTTTATATATATATACATTTTAGATGGAGTCTCCCTCTGTCACCAGGCTAGAGTGCAGTGATGCAATCTCGGCTCACTGCAACCTCTGCCTCCCAGGTTCAAGGGTTTCCCTTGCCTCAGCCTGCTGAGTAGCTGGGATTATAGGCACGTGCCACTGCACCCAGCTAATTTTTGTATTTTTGGTAGAGACAGGGTTTCACCATGTTGGCCAGGATGGTCTCAATTTCCTAACTTCATGATCTGCCCACCTTGGTCTCCCAAAGTCCTAGGATTACAGGCATGAGCCATCATGCCCAACCTATTTACTTTTTAAAGAATACAAGTTTTAGGGTGTGAATGAATATTTAATTAAATTAGAGATGATATTGAACAGCCCTACTGCAAAATTTTACTTAATGTTGACCCAGCTCTAGCTTTAGAACTTTTGCTTTCCCCCAAACTCATATAAAATAAAATTAAAATTAAAAAAAAAAAAAGCAGGCTGGGTGTGGTGGCTGGCTCATGCCTGTAATCTCAGCACTGGGAGGAGGTGAGTGGATCATCTGAGGTCAGGAGTTCAAGGCCAGCTTGGGCAACATGGTGAAAGCCCATCTCTACTAAAAATACAAAAAATTAGCTGGATATGGTGGCAGGCACCTGTAATCCCAGCTACTCGGGAGGCTGAGGCAGGAAAATCACTTGAATCATGAGAAGGAGGTTGCAGTGAGCTGAGATCTCACCATTGCACTCCAGCCTGGGCAACAAGAGCAAAATTCCATCTCAAAAAAAAGAGTAAAGGAGACTAAGAACATAGTTACTGACCAGCCTTCACTTGTCTGGAACTTGGGTTATTAGTTTGCATTTTGAAAAATTCATGAGAGAGTATG